AATTGGTATACCATCTATTCCGGGGGCCTTATTTTTTGCTATTTCCTTCAAAGCAGCTTGAACTTCTGCCTTCATCACCATAGGCTCTGGCTCAAATGCTATTTCATTAAATTCTTCTGTATCTGCCAATTCCTTTTGATACAATGACTCAGTATATTCCTTCCATCTTCTTTTGATACCTCCTGGATCATTTAATGGAATGGAATGTAGACTGAGAAAATCGTGGTTAGCAAAAGGCCCCCAGTTCCAAAGTCTTTGGAGGAAAAAATGTCAGAACAGATAGAAGGACGCTGAGAGATGAATCAACCAGTATGATGAAAAAAGATCAAGTTAATAATTGCAAACCACACCTAGTCTCTGTGAACACGGAAAGAATTTTGAGAGAGGGCTCTGTCAGGATATGCATATTAGGAAAGGGTGTCATTTCTCAGAGCTGAATTTCATAAATTCCTTGGAAAGGAATCTCTTTGGTTACTTAACATTAGAAATTAGTATCAAAGAATGGTGTAAACTCACAGCTTCACCTTTCTGGTACATAGCTTATCTTTGATTTGAAAGTGTTATTGTTATGTGCTGCAGCATTGGTGACCCCTACAGCAGATTTTCACAGGCTATAAATTGCACAGGAGGAGGTTGCCCGTGTTTCTCTTTTGTAGCAGCTGGTGAATTTGAACCTCACACCTTTGAGTTGACAGAGCAACTCCTTGCCATTAAGTCGCCAGAGCTCAATTTGAAATTGGTGACCTTTGAAGGCCACCGTCCTCCATTTTCAGAGCCTAATGCCCAAGAGGGTTGGTTTTTTTTACTCTCCCTCCCCCTCTTCCCACACACTCTTCAACACATGTGGACTTAGTTCTCTAAGGATCAGAGTCCGTCTTGCCCAGAAGCATTTTCTAGGACAAAGCTTTCGGAACGCTCTCATTTTCCTTGGGAGTTCTGGTGGCATAGTGCATAACATAACACCAACAGGTGAGCTCTTTAAATCCACCAACTAACTACTTCAAGATGGGCAGTCTCCTCTCTTACCAGGCTTGGAAACCCATGGGAGAGTCAATTAAGTGCAGTTCACTGCGTTAATTTTCATACTATTGTCCTTAGATGTCGTTGAGTCAAGTACCATTCCTGGAGGCCCAGTGAACAACAGATCTAAACCTTGTTAACCTGTGCCAACCTCATCATCTTTGATATACTTAATCCCATTGCTGTAGCCTCTGTGTCAATCTATCTCATTGAGGGCCTTCCTCTCTTTTGCTAATCTTCTACCTTTCCAAGCAGTTTCATAGAGGGTTTTTTAAAATTTTTATTGTTGGTGTGTTTTTTTTTTAATATTGAGTAGGAGATCAGGGTTGTGATTATTTTACTTTGTGGAGTATGAAATGGAGATCTCAGAACACTTGATCATTCTAATGGGAAACCTATACTTGGACCAGGAAGCCGTCATCAGAACAGAGCAAGGGAACACTTCATGGTTCAAAATTGGGAAGGGTGTATGCCAGGGATGCATCCTATCTCCATACCTTTTCAACCTGTATGCAGAACAGATTATCCAGG